TTTTTTTTTTTTTTTTTGGTACTGGGGATTGAACTTGGTCCTTGCGCTTGCGCAGCAGGCGGTGAACCACTGAGCTAAATCGCTGGCCCCTTTGGGGAACTTTCTAACTACACATGCCTATTCAATGTGGAAATGTGTTACTAATACATGTTACACACACTACTGTCAGATGGTATAGTACATAGTACCATTTTTCTGAAGTAAATACAAGTAGAAGTTAGGTTGTTTCTTCCACACCTAAATGGATCCTTTTGTTTTCCTACTGTGATAAGCAATCCCCGTTTTGAAAGTATCGCCTACTTTATTGTTGTTGTAGTACCACAGATTAGATGCAGGGGTGTTCTGCCACTGAGCTATTTTCCCAGCCCCTCCTATTTTCTGTTTTGAAACAATGTCCTGCTAAGTTGCCCAAGTAGGACTTTGGGGAACGTCAGCCTCCCAAAGTGCTGCTTTTACAACCAAAAAGCCACTGTGCCTAGTTCAAAGATGAAATTCTAATAGTTTACTCCATACTTGTTTATTCATAATTCAACAGGTGTTTCTTGAACATCCATGATAGTGCCAGCCATTGTTCCAAAAGCCGAGGATGTAACTGAATATCATCAAACTTAGATCCCTCCTCTTAGGAGGCTCCATTCAGAGCCAAATCAGTGTGTGAGGTATGGTGTGTTAGTAGTGCTGTGGAGATAAAGTGGAGAGTGAGGTGGGGACTGTATGGCAGTGTGGAATGGAGTGTGCAGTTTCAGTGCCAGCTACTGCACTAGAACAGGCGGTTTTCTGAAACAGTGTCTCATCTTGCAATGTAGCTCAGGCTGGCCTTGAACTCTCTTTGCACCCAAGGCTGGGCTTGAAATTTGGCCATCCTCCTGCCTTAGCCTCCTGAGTGCTGAGATTACAGGGATGTGGCTATACCACACCCAAGTTCTTTTGCGTTTCTTTACCCTGACTTTATCATCAGTATATTTTAGTAAGCCATCAGTATTTCTTTGCAGTTGAATTCAGCTAGCTATAATTACTTGAAAAGTCTTTGGATTTTATAAATAAAAACTCACCAGGAGATTGGAGAGGTTCTGTTCTAATTCTAAGAGATGAACTTTAATTTTGGTGTCTAATGAAGTGACACTTGTTTCACAACTGTTTTGTTTTTGTCTTATAGGAAACTCAGCGTTTGCTGGCAGAACCAGTTCCTGGCATTAAAGCGGAACCAGATGAGAGCAACGCTCGTTATTTTCATGTGGTCATTGCTGGCCCCCAGGATTCCCCCTTTGAGGGAGGGACTTTTAAACTTGAACTATTTCTTCCAGAAGAATACCCAATGGCAGCACCTAAAGTACGTTTCATGACCAAAATTTATCATCCTAATGTAGACAAGTTGGGAAGAATATGTTTAGATATTTTGAAAGGTAAGTGATATTTTATCATCATTTGCTATTAAGGTTTCTCCTTTCTCTCCAAGCATCCCATATTAGAATGTAAACTTTGTAATCTTACCTTATATACCAAGACCATGGAGGTCTGTGGGAGGGACATGCAGCAGATCTGGGCCTGTGTTTTGGTGCTTTATCATATTATCTACTGGGCCTGTTGCCTTCATAGATAAATGGTCCCCAGCACTGCAGATCCGCACAGTTCTGCTCTCGATCCAGGCTTTGTTAAGTGCTCCTAATCCAGATGACCCATTAGCAAACGATGTAGCGGAGCAGTGGAAGACCAATGAAGCCCAAGCCATAGAAACAGGTATTGAATATTCATTCTCCTTTACAACACTTCTACTTTTAAAACACATTGTAGCACCATTAAAATCTTTTTAAGCTTTTCCCAAGGAAAAGGAAAATAATTAAAATGGATGCTGTTTTTGGTATGCAGATACAGTGGTACCTCAGTTCATGAACACTGTAGTTTACGAACAGTTCGGCTTGCAAACAGAAGGGTTTGGCAAAAAAAATTTTTGTTTGTAAACTCTGCATCAGGTGACAAACACAACTGCGGCCATCTTTTTCACATGGACACAAACGTGACCATCTTTTCCAAAATCGTAGAACACATTAGGTTCGTGAACTGAGGTACCATTGTACTTCTTAAAAGATGTTCATGTTCCATCTTTATGCCCTGCTTGAACCCCCATATTAAAAACAACATGTAATTGGGAGGTCTTAGACTGGATTTAACTACATTGGAGTCAACAAATAAGGAGTGCCTACCATTCATGTAGCTATACGTAGACACTGGAAAACTTTTGAACTCTTTTGAGCTGTTCAAAAGATTAAACCATACAGCAGTGTGTTACTAAAGAATATAAACTTGAGGCCGGCATGGTGGTGCACACCTGTAAACCTAGCACTCAGGAGGCTGAGGCAGGAGGATTGCTGTGAGTTTAAAGCCAGCCTGGGCTCCATAGTGAGTTTAAGGCCAAGATGAACTACATAGCAAAACCCTGTCTCCAAAAAAAAAGTAGAATCAACAAGCTACAGTTAAAATGAGTAGGGAGCATTATAGGTCCAGAAATGAAGGACATAATTCTTCTGATCTGCTTGAATTTTGTAATCTTTTGAGTTTCATTGTACTATTCCACTAATTTAACATTAAGAAAATCTTTCAACCTTTGATGGTTTATAGACAATGGCATGAATTTAAGAGACTGCACCATGACATGTCCATAATTAACTTTTATCATATTTCTTTACTGTTTATAGACACTGGGAAGTAAGCTCTTGAGCTTAGTAAAATAATAATTGCATGTTTGTTTCTGTCTACAGCTAGAGCATGGACTAGGCTATATGCCATGAATAATATTTAAGTCGATCCGATCATCAAGTTTGTGTCACTTCTCCTGTTCTGCCAAGACTTCTTCCTTTTTTGTTTGCATTTAATGGCCACGGTCTTAAGAAACATTACAGAATAAAAGCCCAGACATTTTCAGTCCTTTGGTGATTAAATGCACAT